CCTTTGGGGTTGCTGTAGGTGATCTGGAAGTCTGTTTTTGAGGCTTGTTTATGTGTCTTCTCATTTCCACGGTGTGTGGGGGGGTTGCTTCTGGCATGGCTCACCTTCTCTGCCCTAGGAGCATGGGATGGTGGTGGGGGAGCTTCCTTCCGGGTGCTGGGACCAGCTCACCTTCTTTCCAGTCTCAATTTTATTGTAGTACTTTGACTGCAGTGCCTCTTTTCTCGGATTGATTTAATTTTTTTGCTGGGTAACTTTTCACAATTTTTACTATCATGCAGCAGTTTTACTATCATGTACATGCTGAGGTAATTCTTGTGTCTATACTGGTTTTAGTTCATAGATTTTCCTTATCGTTAGAATAACATATTTTATCAATTTTAGAAAATCGTCGCACCCACTGCCTTTTCAATTTCAGCCCATTCTCTCCTCTTCCCAATAAAGGATAAAAGGATGTGGAATTATTGTGTGTACATTTAGAACTGTCAACATGTTCTTTACATTTCTTATGCTCATTGCTACATTTTTCATCTTTTTCACTCTGTGTTTCCATATGAATATTTTTCTGATATATTTTCCACTGCACTAGTCTTTTCCTCTGTGTATCTAATCTGCTATAAATATACTTTTATGTTTTAAATTCAGTGATTAAATTTAGTTTTAAAATTTCATTTGGTTATTTTAATTTTAGATTCTAATTATTGCAATTCTCCTGCTAATTTTTTTTTGTAATTTTGGCTGTTTCCTTCTTTTAACCACAGGAGTTTTTCCTCTGGACTTTCTATTTTTGCCTTTATACTCAATAATTCTGAAAACTATACAAGAAAGTGTAGAGAGTATGAGGCCATGAATGATGGAATCCTTTTGCTGTGGGGAGGACTTAGTTTTGCACCTCAAAGAAGGTAGAAAAATGGCAGGTAAATTTAATCTATAGTTTGTTTGAAGCGCTTTAAATGAGGATTTCAATCTTAATGAAGATTGGTCTCTCTGTGTTTCACTCTTCTCCGTGGGCAGAAGTTGGCAAACTTTTTCTGACAAGGACCAGTTAGTAGACACTTTAGGCCTCGTGGACCTTCAGTCCCTGTGGCTACTGCTCAGCTCTATGATTATAGCCTTGAAACATTCAGGAACAGTGTGTAAATTAGATAGTGTGACTGTGCTCTGATAATACTTGTCTATAGAAACAGGAAATTAACTAGACTTGACCTCCAGAGTATAGTTTTCCAACTCCAATCCTAGGATATAGCTCTTTAAGTGTGTCATCTCAAAACCTGGATATGTAACTAAGATTGCTTCTATGCAGAAAGCCTCAACTCCAGTTTTTGTTCTCAAAGTCTTGTGAAATTATGGTTAGCTCTGCTATGAGTCTCAGCCTATTGGCTTATTACAACTTATGAATTAACAAATTCCTTGAGGGGAAAAGTATCACCAAATGTGTTCACTTCTCTATACTCACCTTCTCTCCAGAATTGTAGCCTCTAAGAGCATCATCTGGGGAACTCCCTGATACTCTTGCATATTTATTGTTCCTGTTGTGGATTTTTTGCTTGTGTGTTTTAGGCAGTGTTAAGGATTGAACCTAGTATGTGCTAGGTTAGTATTCTACCAGCTATATCTTTAGGCCTTGTTGTTGTTATTGCTCCACATAACATTTTTTCCTTTTTCCTGGTTCAAGTAGTCTGTCCAAACCAGAAGCAAATGAAACATCTTTTCTGAAGTTCAAATTAACCTTGACTTTAACAAAAAGTGGAAAACTCATCTTTATATTTTGGATTTGATGTCAGAAGTAGTTAGACAACATGGTATATGCTCAAATTCAGTTGGCTGTTGTTCACCTTTAAATGATCATTTGAACTGAGTACAGTTTCTCTGCATGTGAAGCTGTTATTTTTAAAAATTCTTATAAAAAATAAACTCCTTAATGATTCTCCCAATATTCCTTTTTTCTTTTGTTTGTGTTTTAAGATAAAGTCTCGCTATGTAGTTTCGGCTGACCTTGGACTCACTGTGTAGCCCAGGCTGACCTTGACCTCACGTGATCCTCCTGCCTCAGCCTCCCAAGTTATGGGATTATAGGCATGCACCACCACACCCAGCACCAGTATTCCTTTTGTAATTTAGTCTGTACATGGTATTCAGATTAAGTCTCACAAAACATAAATTTGGGCATGTTATTTCTACTTAAAACTGATGGTTTGGAAGGTCCTTTATGATCTCGCCTCTATCTACCTCTCCAAACTAATTTTTCAACATGTACCCCCCCCAAACTCATATTGACAAATTACTTTATAATTTAAACCTGTACTTTAGACCCAGTTTGTGAATCTTTATACTTAGATAATAGTAAATTCTTTCAAAACTATGTACGGTCCTTGAAAGGTCAGAAACAGGCCCAGGTTAACCACTTTGTCAGACTACTTAGCTGTTTGTGATGGAATTATAGAGTCATTTGGTTGTGAAAAGGAGGAAGTGTGTATTTAAAATCAGTAATACAGTGAATGGAGAAAATAGTCTCTGTAATCTCTTACAAGGAATCTTGATGAATACATTTCTACATAGTTTACACTCATTCGCATTTTGAGATCGTTTAAAACCTACATGTATCATGTTTGTGTGTTGCATGGGGTGGGGGAAAGCTGTCCAGGAACTCTGGGCCATAAAGCATGTTGGGGCAGATACCGTGCAGAGACTGATACCTGTAGTACAGGAACACTGATTTTCCTGCATTGTCTCCTGGCTGGCTGGAAAGTTCAGGGGCATTTTTGTTCATGCCTTTCAGGCAGCATCCTTTTCAAGTGGATGACTATGGATCCAGAGAAGATCTCAGAGATGCAGGAGGAGATTCTGTCTGTCCTGGAGGACAAGTTTCCTAATCTGCCTCCGAGAGAGGACATCATCAGTGTCCTACAGGACACCCACTCCAGTGCACATGGTGAGTGGCTCTGTCTGCAGTGCTCTAGCTGCTCCTGAGTAGGGGTGGTTTGCACGGAGAGTGTTGTGAGGCCCAAGAGGGGACATGCAGGCATCCTTTTACTTTCTTTCCACAGAATCGCTTGTGGAAGGTTTTTTAGGCTCATGGTGTTGGCTCATCTGAAAACAGCCATCCTGTTCCATGCCTCTCCTCCAAGGCCCTGGTGTCTGGACGTGGTTAATTCCTGAATCTAATGCACATCCCAAATGGATCATTACCTGCAGTCCTTATATTGACAGAGTTCTATTTTGAGAATGTGGCAGGAGCAATGTCAAGCACAATGGGATTTTGTAAATCAATTAATCCTAGAAAGAAATGAGAGAGAAGATGGCTAAACTGATGAAATTGTTTTCTAAGTCTAGGCTTTATCAGAACATTGAATTTGCTGGATCAGCTGTTTCATAATAACACATAGCTATGGTTCCTTTATACAGGTCCTGATGGTACAATTCTGCAAGGATGATCTTCCTGAGTCCTCATCACCCCCAGTCAGGTGCCTTATGAGGCTCATTTTCCAGATGCATAGAAAAGGCTTTTTTGCTTTCCCAACAGCAAACACACACAGCTGGCGAGTAGCCAGACCAGGATCCTGACACAGACCATCTATCTTTAAGGTGCAAACATTAAATGACATGACTTTCTCTGTATTTACTTTGGGATTCTCCAGGAGCAAAGCAGTTTATTGGGAGGTGATCCCAGACAACACTGATGGGATCAGGGCGCTTTATCAAGCAAGTTAGCTTAATGGGAAGCCAGAGCTGAATCCCCGTAGGAACTCAGGGAGAGTGTAACATTGCACTTGCAGATGATCCCACATGAAGGTTGCAGTGGTGTGCAAGGACGTGTTCAATATGACCCAAGGGCCATTGGTTACATCTCCAGGAATTGCGTGAGTTGGGAGATGTTAGATTGGTAACTTGAGGTCAGCTGTGGTAGGAATATGCTGCCACCAAAATCGACAGACGTCACAAATCAAGTTTTGTTACTGGTTGTCAAACATTGAGCAGTAGACCACTGGGATAGAAAGGGCTCCCAAGTACCGTAGGGTGTTAATTCCCCTAAGTAGGCTCTGGTGGCCAAAGAAAGGTTTCAAGAAAAGTGCAGGTGCTGATGGTCCAGCATCGTGCTGGACACCTGGAGAAGGGCGAATCTGAGCAACTGTGAGTAGGGCACAGACAACGCCCGCCCACCTCTACTTATCTGTGCACAGTGTGGGTGTGTGTTTGTGCATAGCTGCACAGTGGCATGCATTTCATCATTCTTTTTTAAAATGACACCAAACGTTTAAGGTCACAATACACCTTAGAATGCACTGTATGCTGCAGTAGAAAAATGGGTGGTCTTTTGATCAGCTAGTCAAAGAAGAATGTTTAGTACCTGCTTGTTTCCCCACACTGCTGGGATCAACAGTGTTCCAAGTTGGTGAGTAGGCAGTCAATTTAAATGTCTTCACAATCATCTGGGAAGGTTACGTGTGCTTTACTAGGCTCTGTTGTGGATCTTCTTCCAAGACAGGAGGCCTATTCAGACATAATAATGTAGTCTGATAATTACATGTTGAGCCAGACTTTTTCCTGATTTGCTGTGGTAGATTTCATGAAGTTTTCTGGTCAGCCGACTGTGACTATGCAGTTTTGAATCATTCAGCCTTTCTTCCCATCAATTAAGGAATTCAAGAATCCTTATTGCCAGAGCCCAAGGCTTACCAATTCAATAGTGGTAGCTTCATGGACCACATTTATAAGCATATTTTGGGTTTTTTTTTTGTTTTTTTGTTTTTTATAATGCTAACTGGAAATTATTTTATTGGCATCCTTTACTTAGCAGCCTGGGTTGTGTATAGGATGAGCAAGTCATTTTAGGGCATAACTGTCCAACAGTATTAAAATACATTTTCAGAACCTTTGTAGTATAGATATTTTCTATATTTAGCTCTCCAAAACTGAGACATCTTAAGAGCTAAAACCCTTTAAGGCAGAGAAGCCCTTCAAGCCTTGGTGAATAAACAAAAATGAATCAAATGCCAATGTAGTTTTAAGATTCATCAACACAAGCTCGCTGGAATTTCTTTTGGGACCTACACCCGTGTGGAATACTGTCTAAATATCTCATATTTTGACTAAACAAATCCTGTGTGCTGCCTCCTTTCAAGATAGATGGCCAGATTTCTATGGAGTTAGCACAGTGCTTGGCACCTAAAAACACAAATATCTGTTCATACTGAATGATTTAGCAGTGGCTTTATCTTCTCTGGGTGGTATCCAGAAAAAAACCCAAACACTATGAATATTGGCCCACTTTCCTTTATAGGCCATGGCTATCCAGCCCTGGTACGAAAGCAAGTCTGAATTATTTCTTCTCAATATAAACTTTTAAAAATTAGTTGCTACCTCACCTCTTGGAATTCCTTGTATCTAAAAATCTTTCACAAAATATAGCAGAGTCAAATAACACTAAGTGGTACTAGAAGTGATGCTCAACAGGTTCTCACGTTTATTGAGAAGTGATTAATGGTAAAAAGAAAGGCAATGCCCTTTCCTCATTGGCTGAACAAGAAACTGAAGAAACATTCACTACACATTTTACGATATTTTTCTCTTCCAAAATACATTTATGAAAACGAGTTTTTACCACTGTTCTTAGTTTTGAAATCAAATTAAGCTTGGCTTAATCAGTATAATGAACAAGAACAGAACATTTCTTAGGACTCCTAGTACTTTACTTTGAGTAACAAAGGGTCAGAGAAAATGAACCACCCTTTAAAGACACAAACTTGGGTGACACTGTTAAATTTTCCTAGACAAAATTTCTTCATAAAAATGTTCTTCCAGTTCGGAAGGGGAAAATCAAATTCCCTCTTTCTGGGGTGGACACCCCAAACCTTCGCAACTCGTGTTCTCCAAGTGCAAATGTCAAAATGGGAGGAAAGGGTTTAAAAATCAGAGAAAACTGTGTGCACTTACAGACTTAAAAATCCAAAAAACATAGTAGAGAGACAAAAAAAGCATTATGCTCTGAAATCACAACCAAACCCTAAATAAAAGGGACACTTTTCACCTAAACTACCTAGAGGGATTTTTGTTTAGGGTTTTCCTTTTCTTTGTCTTTTTCTTCATTTTCCAGTTAGGTCCTATGTCTTTTGTGAAATTCCAATACTTAAACTGCAAGTCTGCAATCGTCTCTGAAGTCAATGAAATTAAGAAAAAAGTCCTAATTCTCTTGAAGGTCATTTTTTCCTCTTAGGATTTGCAGATGCAACCGTTGCTGCAGTCTGTGCAGAACTGCATTTTACTTCCCACGACCTTGACTCTCCTTTTTAATACTTTCTTCTTCCTCTTGGCATTTCTCATAGTGTGAGAAGTCATCAAAAATGGAAGTGGTGTGCTTGTAGCTGGCTATGATTTTCAGCACCTGCTTAGCTTTTTCTAGAGGCACCTCCTGAGTGTCCCTCGAGTTGGTCACTGGTTTATTCTCATTGTTCTCTAAGCAAATGTGTCGCTGTTGGTTATTGGTATAAGTTGGCTATAAGTATATTTTGAATAAAATTATTCTATAAATTATAAAATTATAGGAGCTTACCCAAATGCACTCTAAAGGCAAATTTGGGGCTCATCTGTATGGTTATACTTGCTTTCCTTCATTTTATCACCCTCCACCTCTTCCCGTCCTCCACTTCCTGTGGCAGACCTTGAGAGGCAGAACCCTGAATATTTCAGCTTCTGGGCTCCCATGACATTGCTTCCAGTTGGGTTTGGCCAATGCGGGCAGTTAGAAGCCCAGGGAAACTTGGGTAGAGGAAAGCAGAGGAACACAGCTGTAGCATTTCTTCCCTGTTACCTTCCTGCATTGGTGTTAAGTTTCTGGTGATCAGACCATCTTCTCCAACCTCAGATCTCTCCTTCCTTTGTCCCCTTGCCAGTCTCTGAATACCTCATCATCTTCTATTGGCTCTATTCAGTCCTGCACACATCTCTGTGGGGGTGCTGCCATTGGAGAGCCTTTGTTTGCATCATGAGTGAAGAATTCTCTTTCCTCCTGGGATCTTAGCCGACACAGACATTGTCCCAAATGTGGTCATTGTCTTGGTGTGTGTGTATTTCTTATGGATAAAAGTGATATTAAAGGACAAAATATTGAAATTAATATAGAAATTTCTTTAAATAATACCTTGATATTGTAAAAAAGTTTCCCAAATATAACATTTTCACCCTATTGTTCACAGGTTTAAGTACTGAGCAAACAATGTTGAAAGAACTGAAGGAACTGTCAGATGGAGAAATAAAAGTGGCCATTAGTGCTGTGGACATGAACCTTGAGGTAAGGGTGGGAATACTTTTTCAGCAATGACAGATGTACAGATTACAGTCTGAGCACCTAAAATACAACTTTCTCTATTGCATAAGTTGCTGTTAGTCTTTTGCTGGGTGGGGATGCTTCATTGTGACATACTTGACCTGGAGTGCAGGTTATTATTTTAAATGAAAATACTCTGCTACATCAATGAAAAATGCTAAACCCAGATTGTCAAGATGAGTGCTGTTTTATTCATCTCAGTAAAACCAGACTTAAAACACACTCACATTTGTCTGTGTGTTTAGCCTGTTTTAATAGCAATGATATGTGATTGGGTCTACTTCAATGTTTTCCCCTTACCGACAAATTGTCTTTGGCCTTTGTAAGCTATTTGAACATATACTGTTTTCATAATCAATGGTAATGAATCAAATATCAGGAGGAACCCTCCTTCTAATCTGTGAATGAGTGAATGCTATTCTTGTCTTTGTGTTTTTCCTTGGTAAATTATCTTCTGTCTACTTTGGGGGTTTTCAATGACTTGTGTGTTAATCTTAATTAACCCAACTAATAGGAGCTGTATTTTATAGAGGCACATGTATGTCTTTGCAGAAGTCTGTATTTTTTTACCCTTCTGTTGCCTTGGTCAAGCTGCCTACCTCTAGCGGAGGCACTTAGCTCTTGCATCAAGTTTACGGGACACAATTTTCTGTGTAGGAATTTGTCTTTTGGTTTTTTAGAATTGTATATTATTCTCTGTTCTCATGATGATGGTGACTATATAAATGTGTACATTTCTGGGGAACAAGAGTTATGTGTAATGGGGTTCACACCCTAGCACACCTTAGAGCAAACCAGGAGCTTTTCTCCATGATATTTGTAAAATTTATTTCCAGTTGAGCAACATTATAATTCAGCTTGTAGATCTCTGTGAGTGCCAGGAGGTGGATTTTTATTGTATGCAGTTGGTAGAGTGACTCAACTGTTTCTAGGGACATTCAGATTGATAAATGCTGCCTATAATTTGGTGTGGATGTGAATCAATACAAGAAATACATGCAATTTGAGCTGTAGTGGCTAGATAATCACCTTCAATTAGAAATCTACTTTGTGCCTAGAAACCCAAGGAAAACATGGATCTTGCAAGGGTCAGTAGCTCTGAGAATCATTTCTACTAGTTCAAGCCCTAGGGTTTTCTTTTTCCTTCCCCCTCCCCTATTCCACTTCATTTAATGGCATCTTATTAGGTTTTAAATGCCTTGTTTGGAATTCCTCGCTAAATTAACACAGCACATTTTATAATTGCTTAGGGAACTGTCTGTAGTTAGCAAATTGTTTTAAGGCTATTAATACTAGAGAGTTACTGTAGCTTTAATGTACCTTCATTTATATTATGGTGGTATACAAATAGCTTTGTCAGATAGGTTTAACTGTAAATGTTTATCAAGCAGAATCAGTGATAAAAGTATCATCTTAATCCTGGTAATAATTTACATAAGGGGTCCAGCAATTAATCAGGTGGTTAAGTAACTCTCTGGAAGCTGCTATATGGTCTTCAGGGAGGAGGGGAGAAGGACATTTGTGTGTGTAAAGAAGGATCCATAGTTCAAATTCTAATCAGTCTAATAAGAGCTTTCTATGTTTGCATCATGGGGATATTAAAGGTGACTGAGAAATAGAGAAAGGACTCATTAGTAATACTGTATTTCTTCCTTGAAAAAGGAAAATGCACATTATTTACCCAGTCTGTTAGATGGAAAAAATCCTACAGGTAAGGACAGAATTTGGTTTTCTTTACAGATCACCCAGTCCTTACTCACTTCTTTTTTTCCTTACTAACTTCTGATCACACTTTAGCATTCTTTTTTCATTCCCCATCTCACTTTTAAACATAATGATAGAATCTCTATAATTTCATTTTGCATATTTTGGAACAGTTGTATAATTGCCCTTTAATTCTAGATACAGTCTCAAAGAAATCTTCTGCCTAAGATTTTCTAAATCTTGCCTGTCCTGCAAAGCGTGATCCATGTAGGCACTTCATGATGACTCCTGGACATTCTCTGCTTTCTACCACCACCCTCTGAACTCTTACAAAATCTAATCTAGTCTTGCAAAGGATAGTTGTGCCCTAAACAAGGTTGTATATCATGGGATTAACTACCATAAAAAGAATTATTCTAATTATGTAAAGTTTCAGTGGTTTGTGCCATGTATGAAGTTGAAGTGACAGTGATTTTGAGCAGTGAGGGCCTTACCTGAAGCCAGGCAGCAATGCCTCTCACAGGGGGGACGATTGGAAGCTAGGGTCATGGGAAAGACACTGAAGTCCCATCTCGAATCCGGATGCTGCAAGCCTCATAGATGGAATCCACGTTGCTGGTTACTGTTGTGCTAATCCTCTGTGCCCTTCTCATTGCTTGCTGATTTGGCTATCGAAGAGAATTGATTGTCTCAAAGCACCTGTGGAACTGAAATGAACTTTGCCTTTATTCCTTTTTGAATAGAACTGATAATGGTTCCACTTCTTGGGCCTGGTTTATTCTCTGGTAAAGCAGTGTATTACATGTTAAGAGGAAAGGGCACATCAAACATGGGGCCACTGAAGCACCTGAGGCTACTCATGGCAGCACCGCAATAACAGTTCCCATGCTGACACTGAATGTTACTACATCTGCTTTAAGCATCTCTCAAAAAAAATTGTGAGTCACTAGTATCTTTACTCAGGAAGGATACTAACCAAGCAATTACCTCTATGTATGCCCCATGTCCAGATTATCTCCCCTTCCCTTTAACCAGAACATTAGTCATGCTGTCACTGGCTAGCATGAGTTCTTAGCTGTATGTAGGAAGGAAATTAAGCAGAGCTGATTCTTGAGTCTGCCCATAACATCACCATTATCCACCTTCTTCTTCAGGTTCCTTTGAAGGGGACCATCTCCATATTGGCTTCCAAAAGATTATCCATCAGCTGAGGGGTCTTGCTCAATTTGTGCAGAAGCCACACATTGGCAAAGTGTAGCTCTTTTGGTGTTAACAGCTCTGGGCATTTAAAGCCAGCAGCCAGCAGATCTTTTAGTGGTAGAGCCCCTACTTACCGCTGGGAGCCAGGAGCTACCAGCAAGTCTTGGGGGGTCTTCTGTTGTTCTCCATAGTTCTCTATTGTTCTCTGCTGCCTACCAGCTTCTATGTTACCAGCCCTGGTTATTGGTACTTTGGCTCAAGCAGCCTTTAGTGTTAGCAGCCCCTAGAGTACTAGCTCAGCATGATCAACTGGAGATAGAAATCACAAATAGGCAAGAATATGGCATCCAGAAGAGGGTTTCTTAAGACTTACGATGCAGCACAGGGGGGTACCTGGGCTGAACCTGCAAAGGGTATGGGGAAGCTGCTTATAAGGAAACAGTTCAGGCTTACACATGTATAGTGTCAGACTTTCTCTTTGGTCACAGACAGAGGAAGGACCCCTCACAGACATGACTGAGGAGGGGTACAGAGGTGTGGGACCATCCAGAGGCTGTAGGGCAGAGTAGTCTGGGGTAGATCCATGGCTGAAGCCTGTTACAGCCAAAACTGTAGCCAGGGGTACCTCATGCAGTGTAACCAGATGCAAGGTATTTGAGTCAGCCTCTATTTGAGGCAGTAACGTTTGGGGGAGCATCTAGCCCTTCTTGCCTATCCCAAACTGGATTAGAGCCTCCCTAATGAGTTCATCATAACTGATGACATCTATGCCAGTCTTATTTCCAAATACAGTCACATTCTAAGATGCTAGCAGTTAGGACTTCAACATATGAATTTTAGGGAAACATAATTCATCCCACGGTTTTGCAGCCAACTTAAAATAATAAAACTTACAAGACTGTCTATATGACCCTGTTGACTGCTTAGCATATTTCACCTATTGGTGCCACATTTGAAATTTCAGCTCACTTTCTGCAAATGAGGAACAATGAGGATTTTCAACACAAATTTTGTCTCCATTAGAAGCTAGAATCCAAAGCAATTGTTCAGTAGCTCAGATCAGGTTTCTATAAGGGCTGTGGGCTGCTCTTCTGCTGCACTCTCAGCCAGGCCCGTCCTCATGACCAGACACTCTGCTACGTGAAACCTGGGGGAGAGAGAAGGTGGGCTGCATTCTGGAGGAGTGACTCGGACACTGACGCATTCTGCCCACCACAGAGACGCCTGGCCACGCTGCACCTTGGATCTCCGCAGAAGGCAAATACCAGCCTTTTCTGTTAGCATTCAGAGCACAAGCCACATGAATTCCCAAGATCACTGTTCAACTCCTCTCTGACAAAAGAGAAACTCATAAAGGCCTCAGTGAGCATAATTAACCCACTGTCACCAGGGATTGAAATCTGAGCAAACCAAGCTGAAATCCACACTAACTTTAGGTACCAAAGATGATTTCTCATTGTTTGAGCTGGACATTTGTTGGCAGTCAAGATGAAAGTACCTATATTTAACTGCTTTATTTTGTGATAGAATGCAGTCTCTTTGTGGGGGAGGAGTCTATGCTAATTTGCTTACCATATAGTTCAAAATGTCAAACATTTATACTGAGATGTTTTGAAAAGGTGAGTTTTCAAAGCCATTCTGCCCCACTACTGGAAATATGTGTGGTCTGTCCTCCAGGTTCTAGATCACAAGTGCTTCCATTTCCTCTTGGGTCCTTGGGTCCAGGTCTGTCACCTCTTCCTTGCTGCAATGATAAGAGCTGAAATGTGATGGTGAGTGCTTAGTGTGTACCAGACAGTAGAGTAGAAACTTGCAAGCGATAGCTCACTTAATCCTCGCAGTAATTGCAGAGAGTAAAGCTGCTGTGGTTACCTCTGTGTTGGTTGTGGGAACTCCAGCAGCTTTCACAGATAAACTCCAGACCTCAGAGGCTCAATGCTGAGGTTGTTTATGGCTTGCTCATGCAGCAGTCTCATTTGGTGCTCTTGCTAGAATGGCCAGGGATTCCGAGACCATTTTTAGCATGCTGTTCCCAAGGTTACCCTGCGGGGTGCCTCCAT